AAGTCACATTGTTAAATATATTTTATTTAGCATTATCTTTAATTCTTCATGTCTCACCTTGAATTAATATTATATTTCTTTTATAAGACATCTTCTTACCTTTCCTCAAATTTACATTATTTGTCGCATAAAGAAAAAATTTGTGTCTTTGGTTTTCTACTTTAATCTTAACAGTGTTTTCTGGTTATTTCTGTTAGCAGTATCTGGGTAAAATTTGACATTCTAAATTTTATTTTTTTAGTGCCTACTACCATTGTGTACCAGTACGTACCTGCCCCATACCTTGTATTGGGAATAGAGCTTTTCATTGTTTTTGTATATTCTCTCTGTGTTAAAAATCATCCACATGGTACACACACCCTGAGTTGGCCTACACCTAGTAGGCTATTTCATCTTTTCACATTCCTTCATGAAGCTATTTACTGCCTTTGGCAAGGATCCAGAAATGAACAAAGTCAGCAGCATTAATTAATATACCCTTAATGCAGAGGATTATCCTAAGGTTATTGAGAGTTTTAAAAAATGAATAAAAGGGAGACTAAAAATCTGACTAATGCAATATATAAAACACAAATGTATAGAAGCATAGGTGACCAACTGTATTGGTAAGAGAAGAAACCGATATATGGCATCCCAAAACTGGTGAGTGGAGGTTTTGAGCGTTTTCTTGAGTTAGGGTGTTTAAAAAAAATCTTACATTGGCATATCTTTGTATTCTTATTTATTTGTTTGTTTGTTTGGTTGTTTGTTTTTGGCAGTCTTGAGTTTATTCGGGTAGATGTATTCTTAACTAAAGAGATAATAGTATAAATTTTAAAATATATTTCCATAACACAGGTATTTTACCATTACTTAGATACTGGATTTTCAAAAGTGATCTTAAAGATTTGGTCAGCAATTTTTACTGTTTCTAATTTATATTATTTTTCATGTTAGCATATAAACTATAAAAGTAATTTTTAGAATAGTTTCATTCAATAAATTAATTTTTCTTGAAACAGGAATTCTCATTTTGCCTTTAATCTTTTCTACAGGGGTGTGGTTGCTCTTCAGACACTACGAAAATTAGTTGAACTTACTCAGAAGCCAGTGCATCAGCTCTTTGATTACATTTGTGGTGTAAGCACAGGTAATTATTATTATATAGAAGTGGTGCATTCCAGTAGTGAATTAAGGAAAAGAAGATTAAGCACTTTCGTTTAAGATCATGGTCCTTTGCCTCCTCCAACCCTCCCTCTACCCCAAAGCTTTCTCCTCCCCTTTTTCATTCAGGGTTAGGCCAGTTAGACACACTAGGTGGCAATGTGTCCTACCAATTACAGCTATATATGAAATCAGCTATTTAAAAGGACATGCCAGAGGACCTAATTTCTCTAATTATAATACATTGATTCCTAGAACTAACCTGAAGGAGTAATTGCTTAATGAATTGGTGAGTTGTCAAATATACTGTATTCTGTGACTAAAACTAAGTAATTTATTGTTAGAACATTATCTACCACAGTATCTTTCTTATATATTATATAATTTAGTGTAAAATAGCACATTTTTACATATTTTTAAATTATCATCATCATCGGTATCATTGTTGGGTAGCATTTATTTTTGAGGCCTGGTAAAGCCCTTTACATCTATTATTGCAGTACAAGAGAGTTAGGAATTTTAGTTGTTCTTATTATTCCCATGTTACAGATGAAAAAATTAGGACTCTAAGAAGTTAAGTAATTTGTCCCAGGTGACATAGCTAGAAAGTATCAAAGCTAGAATTTAAGCCAGATCTGTGACTCAGGAGATCTAATAAGTGCTCTAGTGTCAATGCTGATAAAAACAGGATTCTTTTTTTCAGGTGCCATATTAGCTTTCATGTTGGGATTGTTTCATATGCCCTTGGATGAATGTGAGGAACTTTATCGAAAATTAGGATCAGATGTATTTTCACAAAATGTCATTGTTGGAACAGTCAAAATGAGTTGGAGCCATGCATTTTATGACAGTCAAACGTGGGAAAAGATTCTTAAGTAAGTTATGATTACTCTTTTTAAAATATTCTGATTATATAGGTAATAAGTACATATTATAATTTGAAAAATATAAAGAAAAATATTAAATTATTAATCCCACTAATTAGAGATAACAACTGTTACTATTTTGGTGAATCATATTCTAGTCATTGTTTTCTTGGATTCATATATGTGAGATTTGCATGTAAAAGTTACAATTGCCCTTTTAAAAATATGAAACCGTGTTGTATACAGACAATATTTGCATCCTGTTGTTTTTATTTAACATCTTAGTCTTTTCTCAAGTCATCCTTCTAAAATATTTAATAATTTTTAAATTTCTTTTCAAATATCATATAAAGTCAAAAATATAAGCATAAGGTAGAAGCTTAAAATCACCCACAATCCTATTATTCAGAGCTGTAGACCTTGTAATATGTTTCCTTCTGGTTTTTTTCTAGACTATATATTAATACATTTTTATAAACATTTTATGTAGCTGAAATTATAGTTGTAAATTTGTATCCTTTCCCTTTTTTCCAACTTTATTAAAATCTCTTGATGCATTTTTAAAGACTACCCTATACTCCAGAGTGTGATGGTATCATATTTTCTTAATCATTTCCATTTAGGATTTTTTAATGGCATGTAGGACATTTATGTTCTGATTTTTTTGTGATTATGAACAACGCTGTGGTAGGAAACTTTAAATTTCTTCTCCTATTTCAGAATATATCATCAGGTCAGTTTATAAGAATCATAATTATTGGGCTGAATGTTGATGTATTTTTAAAGTAATCATTATATGGGATATAGAGAATATATCAAGAAAACAATGACAATAACTTGTAATCCCACTAAGAGCAGCAAAAGCACTATTAACATGGCAATATATTTTTTCTATAATTTCCTACAGATAAACAGGTGTATGTGTACGTAGTTGTGTTTGGGTATTCATCCCCTTAACAAAATTGAGATAATAATGCACACGTAATTTTGTATTCTGCTTTTTTTTCACTTAGCATTTTATCACAAATGATTTCCTACATTATTTAATAATTTTTTGACACATTTTTTCATGATTGTTCACCATTTTATGGTACTATTTTTTATTTAACAAATTCTGTTGTGGGAACGGATACTTCAGATATTTTTGCAGTTCAAAATAAAGTTTAGATGGACATCCCATACCTCCACTTAAATCTTTGATTATGTCTTTAAGGTAAATTTCTAGAGTGATATTTTGGGTTAGAAAATATACATATTTTAAAAATCTTGATACATGTATAGCTAAATTGTTCTTCAAAACAGTTGTCCTAGCTTACTCATCCACCAGCATCAATTTGTATTTCTATTTCATGAACACCAAACAATTTAATGGTTAAAACTATATCAGTTTGAGAGATTTTGAAACTGGTGTTTCAATTTATATCACTTTACTTATTGATGAGTTTGAACATTTTTTGATTTTTGATTATATTTTTTTGTGAATTTTGAGGGCATAATCTTTGCTCATTTTCCTATCAGAGTGTTCCTCACTATATTGTAAATATATTAACCATATATTGAAAAAGTGCTTTTTTA